GGGTGTGTGTGTGTGTCTGTGTGTGTAACAGCCCTGGCTGGCCTGGAACTTACTCTCAAACTCAGATATCCACCTGCCTTTGCCTAGAGTGTCGGGATTAAAGGTGTGTGCCATCACTGCCCGGCAAGCTCACTTTTCTTTAGGAAAGGACATTGACAAGATTCCACAGACCCTAGCAGATGACCCCACATTCAAGTACAGAAAGGTAGCACCAACTGGGGTCAGTGGGCTTAAAAAAACAAAAATCAGCTGTGTGGTGGTGGTGGGCATGCCTTTAACTCCTCTGAAGAGTCACTTTTTTTTTTTTTTTTTTTTTTTTTTTTTTTTAAAAACAATTTTTTTTTTTTTTGTAGCCTTGCAGCCTGTCCTGGAACTTGCTCTATAGACCACGATGGCCTCAAACTCTGCCTACCCCTGCCTCCTAAATGCTTGATGGAATTAAAGGAAGTGTGCCACCACTGCCCAGCAACTCATACCCCTTCATGTCACCTGGGAGTGTCCCAGGACACTTGGAGGGGCCTAAGAGGAGAAACAGGGGGACACTCTTGTCCTTCCTGACCTCTCAGCTCACCTTGCTGTGTCAGCATCCCTGGGACCAGCCAGTCTCCTCTGGAGCTGGTGCAGTGCAATGTAAACCAGAATGGCTGCCCCAATCCCTAAGGAATGCTCAAGCCCTGACCTCTGCTAGTTCATCTATAGAATTCCAGGACACCCAGGACCTACACAGAGAAACCCTGTCTAGAAGAGAGAGAGACAGAGACAGACAGAGAGAGAGAGAGAGAGAGAGAGAAAGAGAGAGAGAGAATAAAAATTATAAAAAGGGCCAGGTGGTGCTGGCACACCCCCTTAATCCCAGTGCTTAGGAGGCAGAGGCAGGTGGATCTCTGTTTGAGGCCAGTCTGGTCTACAGAGCAAGTTCCAGGACAGCCAAAGTTACAAAGAGAGTCCCTGACTCAAAAGATAAACGATAGGGCTGGAGAGATAGCTAAAAGGTTAAGAGCACGGACTGTTCTTCCCAAGGTCCTGAGTTCAATTCCCAGCCACATGATGGCTCACAACCATTCATAATGAGATATGGTACCCTCTTCTGACCTGCAGGAATACATGCAGATAGAATACTGTACACATAATAAATAAATAAATAAATAAATAAGTACATCTCTTAAAAAATTTAAATAAGCGGGGCATTGGTGGTGCACGCCTTTAATCCCAGCACTCGATAAGTACATCTCTTAAAACATTTAAATAAGCGGGGCATTGGTGGTGCACGCCTTTAATCCCAGCACTCGGGAAGCAGAGGCAGGTGGATCTCTGTGAGTTCCAGGCCAGCCCGGGCTCCAGAGCGAGTGCCAGGATAAGCTTCAAAGCTACACAGAGAAACCCTGTCTTGAAAACCAAAAAAAAAAAAAATTTAATAAACAAACAATAAAATTATAAAAGGGAACTGAATGCAGAGATGACTCAACCGTTACTTAGCTGCTCTTCCAGAGGACCTGGGTTCAATTCCCAGTACCCACATGTCTCACAAAGACATTTAACTCACTTTCAAAAATCCAATTGTAATTGTTTATTATAGGATTCTATAAAATATGAACAACAAAGAAATAAAAATGTTGCAGAATATTTAACTATATAAAGATGTGTTGCACCGGGCGTTGGTGGCACACGCCTTTAATCCTAGCACTCGGGAGGCAGAGGCAGGCGGATCTCTGTGAGTTCGAGGCCAGCCTGGTCTCCAGAGCGAGTTCCAGGACAGGCTCCAAAGCTACACAGCTCCAAAACCCTGTCTTGACAAACCAAAAAAAAAAAAAAAGTGTTGCATTTGTTTAATTATATAAAGATGTGTTGCTGTTTTACCTTACCTGCCTAGGACACCTCATTGGTCTAATAAAAATCTGAATGACCAATAGCAAGGGAGGAGGTATAGGTGGTACTTTGGGCAGGAAGAGTAAGTAGAAGAAAGAATTTAGGTTGGGAGGGGGGGGTAGAAAAGAGACACTAGGGAGACACCAGGGTCCAGCCAGCCAGACACAGAGGAAGCAGGAAAGTAGGACATACAGAATGAAAGAAACGTAAAAAGCCCCAAGGCAAAAGGTAGATGAACAGAAATAAGTTAAATTAAGTTAAAAGAGTTATTAGTACAAGCCTAAGCAAATGATGAGCATTCATAATTAATAATAGTAAGTGCCCGTGTCTTTATTTTGGAGCTAATTGGCAGCCCAAAAAAAAGCCAACTACATAAAAATTCTAAAAGTTACAAAAGAAAGATAGGAAATTGAGGGGGAGATGTAATACAGTGTGTGTATATGGGAAAATGAAGGGAGGGAAGTGAGAGTGGATATGATCAAGATACATTGTATACATGTATAAAATTTTCAAATTTAAATTAAAAAAACATCAACAAAGCCAAAATAGAAACATTGAGAAATAGCTGATACTATTTGCATAAAGTTCATTTTTTTGAAGGGTTTTTTAAAAAATTTTTATTTGCACTGACATTTTTGCCTGCATGTATGTCTGTGTAAGGGTGCCAGACCACAGGCTGCCACAGGGTGCTGGCAACTGAACCCAGGTTCTCTGCAAGAGTAGTCAGTGCTCTTAACCAGAGCCATTTCTCCAGCGCTGCTCACCCCCCCATAAGGTTCATTCTAGTGTTTATTTTATTACTTGAGACAGTCGATAACTATGTAGTCCTAGCTGACTCTGAACTCTATTTTTTGGGTTAACTTTTATGTGTACACATGTTTTAACTGCATGATGTATATGCACCACCTGCATGCCTGTCAGATCTCCTAGGACTCCGGGTCATGGATGGTTGTAAGCTACCACATTGGGTACTAGGAATAGATTCTTCAAGAATTATCAAGTGATTTTTAATTGAGTATCTATCTCTCCAGCCCCCTGGACCTGAATGAACTCTTGACCCTCCTGCCTCAGCCTCTCAAGGTGCTGGAATTAAAATAAGTTCCATCAGTCCTGACTTTTTAGTGTCCCCACCTCACTCCTACCCAATACAAGGTTTCTCTGTGTAGCTTTAGAGGCTGTCCTGGAACTCTGTAGACCAGGCTGGTCTCAAACTCAAAGAGATCCCCCTGCCTCTGCCTCCCAAGTGCTGGGATTAAAAGCCTACACCACCTACTACACCTGGCCTTTTCTTAACAAGGAAGTTCTCTCATGTGTACCCAATTTCAAAATCACGGCTCAGAAAACTCAGAAACAGATCTAAGTACACAGAGATATTTTAAAGCTACTGATAGCATTCCACACAAGGGAAAAAAGATAGGAAAATAAAGAAAGCATTACAATAAAAAGATTCATCAACTGAGTCAAGCACTAACAAACTGAAGTGAAGCACTAAGGATGGAACAAGTCAATCACAGCTATAAATAAATTTTACATTTTAGTATTGTTATGTTGGTATAAGCATCAAAAGACACAAGGACATATACTGTAGAATTTCATTCATACAACCTTCTAGCAAAGACAAGAAATGACAGAAAGAACACCAGTGATTCACAAAGACAATAGGAAGGTAGGAATAACTGTAAAGAAGCCTAAGTAAATAAATGAATCAGAAAAAAAAAAAAAAAAAAGCCCTTCTCTATAGTGATGGAGGTATCATCTCAACTCCCAAAAAGCTAACTTTAATATCATACAAGGGGCTATGGAGGTAGCTCAGTCAGTAAAGTGCTTGTCTCACAACATTGCAGACCTGAGTTTGAGCTCTAGAATCCACATAAAAAGGCTGGGCATGATGTGGCTGGAGCAATAGCTTAGTTGTTAGGATGGCTGCTCTTCCATAGGACCTGGATTTAATGCTAACAACTGTCTGTAACTCTAGTCCCAGGGTCCAACAACCTCTTCTGGCTTCCAGAGACATTACATGCAAGTGGTACAGACATACATACATACACGAAGAACACCCATACACACAAATTATTAGGGCTGGGCATAGTGGTACATACTTGTAATGTAGTGCTTTTAAGTTGGAGACGGAGATCCCTCTGGCTCAGTAGACAATCTAGCCCAGGACAATCAGAAACCCTATCTCAAAACCTAAGGTGTATAATCTTGTTGAGCTTAACAGCCAAGATTGTTCTCTGGGCACCATAGGCACCACAGGCACATACCCACACACCACTCAAGTAAATATAGTAGCAGCTGCCTATGTCTGCATCTCACCATATTTCCTCCCAAAATAATTTAGGACAGCATTTCTCAGTATTAGCACAAGTGACTTTATTTTTTTTTTTTTTTGGTTTTTCAGAGCCTGTCCTGGCATTCACTCTGTAGAGATCCGCCTGCTTTTGCCTCCCAAGTGCTTTTAACCACTGAGCCCACATCTCCAACCCCAAATGTCAACCTTTAAAAATTTATTACATTTATTTGTGTGCCAGTGTACACACAATTGGAAGGTGTGGTGAACATCAAAGGAAAACCTGGAGGAGTCTTTTCTCTCCTCCTTCCATGAGCTCAAACTCAAAGACTTGGCAGCAAGGAGGCCTTATCCACTGAGCTATATCCCACCAGTCTTAAACTTGTAATTTTACATATATTGAAAAAAAAAAAAAAAACCTCACGGATACTCTCCCAACGTAGATACACAGGACAGACTTTGATGATTCCCCCATGGAAAGCCTCACCCTCCCTGAGGAATGGATGTGGAATGGGGGGATTCGATGCGAGGATGGGAGGGAGAGGGAACTGGGATTGATATGTAAAATAAAATTGTTTCTAATTTAAATAAAAATTTATATATAAAAGAAAACCCTCATTATCTCAAAAGTGAATAGAAAACATCAGAAACTGTCAAAAAAAAGTTACAGCATACTCACAAATGTTCCACTGCAAACATTTGCTTTCAGACACTTCAGAGACAGAGCTAATTTAAAGACAGAAGAACCCCCTCCCCCCACACACACAGGATTTCTGTGTGTAGCCCTAGCTTTGTAGACCTGGAACTTGCTTTGTAGACCAGGCTGTCCTCAAACAGAGATCTGCCTGCCTCTGCCTCCTAAGTGCAGGAATTAGAGGTGTGTGCTACTACATGTGGCCAAGACAGAAGACCTTAAAAGCCATTGATGGCATTTCAAACAAGGGAAAAAAGATATTTGTAAATGAATGAAGAGTTAGGTGAATCTCTGTGAGTTTAAAACCAACTTAGTCTATATAATTAGTCCCAGGCCAGCCAGGGCTTACATGGGAAGACCAAGTTTCAACACACACACACACACATACATACATACATACATACATACATACATACATACATACATACACACACACACACACACACACACACACAAAACACTGAAATATTTGGGGTTGTGAAAACTATCATGAACCAGAAATTTCTTCAAATACATGTCAGAAGTATAGCTTAGTGGTAGAAAGCAAAGGCCCTGGGTTCTAATCCCAGAACCACAAAACAAACAAACAAACAAACAAAAAATCAGGGAAGAAAGAGTCACTAGCCAGATTGTGGATTAGTGGAAAACAGTGACTTCACAGGAGATATCAATCAACCAAGGGATCAGAATCAATGATCAACAAAAAAAGCCATCCTTCTGCTCTATTTTTACTAAAAGCACAAAACCTCAAGTCTAAGGTAACATCTGAGAAAAACAAAGAAGGTGTTCTACAAACTAATAGGGCAATATTCTTTAGGCATCAAAGACACACAGTGAAGACAGGCTAAGGAACTAACTATTCTAGAATACTGGAGGCTCAGAAAATAGCGTTAACTACTGCTGTTTGGACTCTGGATCCCAGAACAGAAAACAGACATTAGTGGGACAACCACTTTGATATAACTGAGTCTCATACTCAGTATTATAGCAATACTAATCCCTGGTTTCATCACTTACCATGTATGCAAGATGTTATCATGTAAGGTTTCTGAAAATTGTATGTGGACACTACTCTAAGTTTTATATCCCTCCCTTTAAATTCTATAGTTATATGAAAATAAGTTAGTTCTTCCAACTCAAATATCACCTTATGACACTCTATTAACCCTCCTCCCATGAGAGCCATTTTCTAACAATATCAATAGACTCCTATGTTTGCTCTACTCACAATACACAAGAGTTCAAGAACTACTAAGTCAGTTCTACCATAAATGTACTAGGATCTCAGTGAATTATATTCTATATTTGGTGCAAAAGAAGGCCACTTATTTCTACTATATTTTACTTTATTATTTTACTTTTATTGTTCCTCTTTGCTGACTTAATGGTACAAAAGTCAAGTGTGCTGCATGCAGTAGCACGTACCTTAAATCTCAGCACTCAGGAGGCAGAGGCAAGCAGATCTTTGTGAATCTCAGGCCAGCCTGGTTGACTACCGAGTTCCAGGCTAGTCAGGGTGATATAGCAAGACCTTGTTCTCAAGAAACAAAAACAAAAGTCATGTGTATATGCAATGTTCACTTTTTTTCTCTGTATCATGTTCCTATTTCTCTGTATCATGTATATATGCACTAAAATTATAGAGCTTGTTAAACTGAACTTCTGAGCATTTTTTATCTAAAATGATGTTTTCTGTCTTAATGTCTCATCATAACAAAGCTAAATGAGATGAATTTGCGTGGCTATCTTCATCTGACCAATAGCTGCTGCTAACCTGTCTGTAGTACTGCTGGGGGCCATTAAGTGCTTGTCCACTTGGTTACCTTACCAGTCCCTGGCATCTACCTCTTCATAAGTAGAAATTTCCAATGATCATATCATATATTCCAAGTTGCATATGAACTTACTCATAAACTCCCAGTATTTTTTGTAGTCCGCTGGAAATTTTCGTAAATGCAAATGATAGAAATTCTCTTTATTTGGAGAGTTGAACCATTCCTGTGCCACCTACACAAAGCAAAAAAAAAAAAAAACAAAAAACAAAAAAAACAAACAAAAAAAAAACACCTAAGAAATAAAGAACATGTTGAAAGCTACTACACACAGCAAACTGAGCTACAGGGGAAGTAGAACAGAATCCCAAATGAAAGACTAAAAATCAGTTTGTGTGGTTTAATTAAATTGTTTAAAACTGACCTGTTCAATTCAGTCATTAGCCACATTTGGTTGTACTTGTTAACTGAACTTCTAAAGACTAAAAATACTATTCCTTGGGTGAAATAGACAGCTTTTCATGTTCAGCAGTCACCTGCAGCCCTGATAATTTTCACTGTACAAGTATCAGCTGCTGCTAGATCTTGCTGGTAGCACCTACTCCACAATGAGACTATTTGTCCTACATTTTTCTCAATCTCTGGGAATTTGCACAAGCATTCTTCCTGTCAGTATCTATATGCCACACATACCTGTCTGCCAAAGCCTCAAGTCAAACTCAGAAGTGTATGAGATCTTTGGCAATCCTAAGCCCAAATTTACGAAAGAAACTGCTAGTATAAAAGGCTATTTTACACTTAAAAAAAAAAAAAAAAAAACAGAATCACCTTCGGGGTCTAACAGTCTTATTTTATAGTAAAATTTTTATTCAAGTAGCTAAATTTGCAACTGGTCTTCAATTCCTCAAATATAATTATTCATCAATGACTCCTGGTGCCAAACTGCTTCTGCACAAGGTTAGTGTGACAGCCCCACCCTCACACTATCTATCACTTTTGGCTAGAAACATGTAGCAGGGCCTTTCCTGCCATGTGCTGCTCCAGCCCAGAAATGAGGAAAGAGGCAAACTCAAGAGGCTCTTCCCCACTCCTGGAGAGTAAACATTACAACCTAACCAGGTTAAGGCTCAAATCAGTCATCCTTTCAATTTCCACTAGTAAGTCATATATTCTAAAATTTATCTATAGTCTTTCCATCTCCATAACTACTATCCAAACAAAGCCAACATCATTCTCTCCCCAAGTTGCTGGAACCAACCTGTAACTGGTCTACTGGATCTGTAAGCCTTCCTACCATTTGTTCTCTACTCAACAACCAAGGATGCTGTGTAAGGAATAAACTAGTGCGTATCCTTACTCCCTGGTCTAAATACTGACCAACACAAAGCCCTCCAATACCTTCTCACAGAAATAAGTACAAATTCAAACAGAAGTTTACGGGACTATGTGCTCATGAGCATTTCTCTAATCTTTATCTACAAAAGAGGCAAAGAAATAAAGCATACTTACTGTTTCAAAAGCATTCAATATAATCAAAGGGAGAAAAACATTAAAATACTCTGCACAATCTTGAAATCTGACGGGCACGGGTCTTGAGATAGATTGAGAGAGACTTGGTGGGGCGCCACATTTATCAAAGTTCAAAAACATTTGGTATTTCCATTTTAAGACCTCTTTAATGAAGGTGTCAAAGATAGACTGTGATGGCAAGAGAATGTTCACTGCAGAGGAAGCTGACACAGGCTTGCTGTCACTAAGTGTAAGCTTATAACTCCGTTTACTGGAACTGCTTGGAGTCTGAAAATTAAAAATATTGCATAAACTTTTCACCTCAGCCACTGGCTTCTGAGACACTATGGAAGAGGGTGGTGTCACCTTCAAATTAGGCTGTGCCCCACTTGACTTATTTTTTAGTGCTGACTGAAGTATGGTACTTTCCAAAGACTTGGAAAAATTGGCTGTTCGTGAAGCACTGCTTGAGCTAAATATCTTGGTAGTAGTAGGTCTCAATGGCCTGGCTACAGAAAGAGGTAAGCCGGGTTTACGAAACACGTCATCATCTGCTGCTTTAGCTTCGGAGTGTCTTGGGCAGTATTCACCCTGGTTTTTTGTAGTTTCAACACAGTCTTTATACTTACACTTTGTGACACTCAAAGACTCCACCAGCTGAGGCTGATTTACAGAATCATCTCTCTGAATAGCATCTTTATGAGTCACTACAATCAGTTTATTATTTTCCATCTGTGAGCACAGATCCATATCTTGAGGATCATGCTGTGTTAAGAATAAATTATCATCATCTGTATCACTACTGGATTCTGGTTCTGCAGCTTTCACAGCTGCCACCTCCCCAAATGGCAGTGTGGGAGCGTCTTCACCCACAGGATCCTCTGAAGCAAATATCACATCTGTTGGCACTCCTCCACTTAACACTCTAGACTCACACTGGTTCACAAGAGAAGCTATATCAGTCACCCGAGGATCGGAAATGGCTTTCGCCACTTCTAGTTTGGAAGGCATGCATTTTGCTAATTGCTTTTCATTACTGTTGGCAGGTGGCTCACTTCCTCTATTATCTGGCCCATCAGAGTCTGGCACAGGTACGTCAGAACCCTGTACTGTGCGTGGCACTGTTCTAGCAGTATCAGTATTTTTGTAATCAAGGTCTCGTTTTTGATGAGATCTGGATCTCATGAGCCTTTGAAACTGAAGATCCTGACTTGTCAGCAGCTTCTTATTATTTTTGATGGAAAGAGTTGGAGGAGGAATTAATTTCGTCTTTTTGGGGGCGTCGACTACTCCAACAGTCTTACCATGGTCACGTAACTGGACTATACACTCCAGAGACCTCTGGGACAACTCAAATGCCTTCCGAGGAGCTTTTTTCAGACCAAGTTTTTCAACCGTTGAAGTTGGCTCTGGACACTGACGAAATTTCTTTGGAGGCACAATAGCAGGAGATGTTCTACAACTGATGTAACATGAACTCTTATTCTGTCCTCTCTTGGTGTCTGAATGAGTTTTCTTAATAGCCTTAGAAGCTGGTACTTTCCTAACAGGTTTTGGGTGAGTACGAGGCTTTGTAGACTTCATTGGTGAAAGTGTAGAATCTCTCTCAACTCTTGAACTGGAAGCTGATGTCCCTGTGTCTATTCCAGCAAGATCTCTGTCATCAGCCAATTGCTCAGGTCTGACAGAAGATGAAGGCCTTTGGGGATCTTCAACTGTAACTCTGTCACATCTTTTTCTCTTATGTTGTTTTCCTCCAGTTTTACAAAATTCCTCAGCAGAAACACTACTGTGTGGTTCTGCATGCTCTTCAACATCCTCTGCTTCATTTCTAGCAATCTCTTCAGACACAGAGTCTGCACCACAACCCAAATTATTGTTTGTACTATCAGCTACATGAGTTACACAGCTTTTTCCTTCCTCTTGAAGGAAGTTCTTGCTGTCTACTTTATGATCTTGCCAAACTGAATACACTTCAGAAGAACTTTCAAACTCAAAAACCTGAGATTCGGAGTCCTCAAATTCTACAGAGAACTTTGTTTCTTCTTCCTTTATAAGTTTCTTTTCCACACCAGTATTAACTACCAAACCATGCTGCTCTGGACATTCTTTCTCTGTGCACACTTTGTCCTGTTGGGTGTGTTTCTCAATACCATGACTTCTTTCATCATCATCTTCGTCAGAATCTGAAATAACAATAATCTGCCCGTGGCAGGTGTCAGCACTGTTTTGGTTAGCTGTCAAACATCTATCATCTTTTCTTTGTAGCTGCGATGGACTTTTACTTGTACCTGTTGGAAACTGAATAACAGTAGTTTGAGCTACTGAAGTTATGTTACAGAGGTCCGTTTGAGAACCTGTTACCAAAGGCTTGCTACTGCCATGAGGCACCTGTCCTTTTACCAAGTTAGAAATCAGCACTGTACTCTTTCTTATTTCCTTATCTCTTGATTCAACTACAACCTTCACGGGATCCTCACATGAAGTTTTCTTTACCAATGTATTGGTAACTTCTGTAAATGATAGCAAATCATCAGTTGCATGGTGTTCCTGGATCTGACACTTGCTTTTATCAGAATTGTATGACTCCTCACTTTTTAACTGTTTCTTTGAACTGTTTTCAGAATTTTGCTCTTCATGTTCATCATCCAGAACAGGGTCTGAAGACACATCATGTGTGACAGCATCTTCCTTTAGAACTTCTCTATCTTTTTCTGAACAGTTCTCAAGGTCAGACATAGCTGTGTTTTCCTCTAGAATGACAGTGTTATTGATCAAAGTACTTTTCCTATGTTGCTTCTTTATGACATGTGATAACTTTGCACAAATTTCATCTTTCTGTGCTTTAGACTTTGGTTTTGAGTTTTTACCAACAGTGTCATCCTTTAATGAGACATCTTCATTTGACGTAGATACTTTTTCCAGAGAGTCAGTGCTAGAATCAGTCAATGAACGTGTTGATATTATTACTCCTCTATCATATCCCCATTCTGAGCCATTTCTTATAGTATTATTTTGTGGTGTAAATGAAGAATTTTCTGTTACCGACTTCTCTGTACTTATCTGAACTTGCTCTTGAGCACTTCCAGAAAATAGGGCCTCACTCTTCTGCTTCAAGCATAATTCAGCTGGAAGAGGCTCCTCTTCTTCATTCAAACCAATGTAATGCTGCTTAATGCCCTCCTCTTCTGTATTATTTGCTTTCATCAATACTTGATTGCTGTCAGCTTTCAACGGTTCTTTAGAACATGTGGGGCTAAAATTTTCCAGGCAATACATGTCTTTTTTAGGCTTCCTGTCTATTTGTTCACTTTCTTCTTTAAAAGATGGAGGAGTTTTACATGTAGAAGTCAGATCCCCAAAAGTGCTATATTGGGGCATTTTGAATTTTATGTTTCTAATTATTTGTTTCAAGCACATTTGTAACTCATGGGTTTCTTGAGCAGTCAACTGCCAACCCAGAGATAAATTTCCTCTAAGGAATAAGTTAAGTTTATCCCAAAACCGCTTACAAAGTGTTTGCTGGCCAAGCTGATAACCTTCTTTCAGGAGACCCCTAATCAACTGAACACAAGCAAGCTGGACAGAGTTAGAGGGCACAGAATGCAATGCCAATGATGATATTATTGCTGCTCCCTTTGGGATACTTCCAGATGACTTCTCAGAACTCCGTGCAAATGCAGTAGTAGGAAGCTTGGCACACTTCACAACAGCTTCTACCCATTGCTGAGAACTCACCCATAGCAGATGCAAACATTTTTTGTTTCTATGCAGTTCAATCACAGATACTAAAATCAAAATAAAAAATTCAGTGACTTTGTCACACACAGCATCTGTCTGGTTGAGGACATCTTTGACTTCAGAGTATAGATGATGAATAACTTCAACAATGTAAGCCACACCCAAATCCTTAAGATCCATGAGTGACTGAACAAAAGGTATGAACCACAGAAAGGTACTGTTATGAACACGCATATCTTGACCAATATCTGACTGAAGTACATTGGCTAATGTTTCCATTTCTTCATACATGTTAGGACAATAATCTGGACAAATGGCTGATCTCCACCCTGAATCCTAAAATGAAAAAATAATCATCATTCAGATAAGCAAGTTTTATGGTAATTACCAAGACTCAAACTGTAGAAAAGGAATTAGCTCTGCAGCTTTACTCTTCTGATCTACTATGTATGTAACTTGAATTATAAAACTGTTTCAAGGGGCTGGAGAGATGGCTCAGAGGTTAAGAGTACCGGCTGCTTTTCCAGAGGTCCTGAGTTCAATTCCCAGCAACCACATGGTGGCTCACAACCATCCGTTATGAGATCTGGTGCCCTCTTCTGGTGTGCAGATATACATGGAAGCAGAATGTTATATACAAAATAAATAAATAAAATCTTTAAAATAAAAAAAGCCTATCCTTAAGAGAACTGAGTTTTTCCAGTTACTTCATGTATGTGGATATCTCCTCTTTCTGAGCTTCTACACCACTTTCAACACTGTGTTTAATGTATTCTTAAAAAACTGTTTCAAGAAAATGCAAATTCATACCTTCACATACTTCAGCCCTCCCACATCATCTGGCTTGATTACTACTACTACTTCTACCAAAGTATTTCACTGTGGCTAAAGTACATGTTCCCCATGTGAAATGTATCAGTCCCACCAGAGAGCCTTCATGGAATAGTGGATTCACACTAGCTACACATCACAGAGTAAGCACTCAGTCACTAACAAAACACTTTCTACTTAAAAGTTGAAGTGTCACTTCAACTTTTAAAATGTTATATACCTTTTTAGTCTTTTCAGGATTATAGTTATAGACAATCTGGCTGCACGTCACCATATCATCAAAATGTGGCTCCGGTTCTAATTTGGTCCTTAAATATTAAGAATAAATAGATATTACTGAAATGAAGGATTGCAGGAAAAAGAGGAAAAAAGATCTCCTTGGTATATCAATGTACAATGTGTTATTTTTACATTCTGACATTTAACCAACCTTATAGAGCTGTTCCGTATATTTTGGATCTCTCTATTGTAGCTCACATTGTTAATGATGGTTTGAAATGCTTCAATAGGGTCAATAAGTTGACCCCACACCTTAGATCCAAGGCGATCTAGAATCACCATGAAACAGTGTAATGCTGGCCAGAAAGGATCCATGCTTTCATCTAAAATAAAATGCAGCATTTCTAAATTACAAAACAATAAGGAAAACATTCTAAAATATATTGAGAATTAAATATTCTTAGACAAAACTGAAAGCAAAATAGCAATTAAAGTGATGTCTGAGTTTTTCACAACAGGGCTTCTCTGTATAGTTCTGGCTGTTCTGGAACATCCTTCGTAGACCAGGCTGGCCTGTAACTCATAGGGACACACCTGCTAATTTTTAAATGTCCTAACATTAAAATCTCTTTGCAAAAATAATTAATGGGAAACAAATAGCATAATCTAGCAGGAAAACGTATGCCATTAGAAATCACGATTTTCTTCTAGAATCTCAATATAATCTAGATATAAACAGATGAGTTTGTATTACCAGTCAACTTTCTAGAAGCCAAATGGAAATTTTTATAGATCTGACATGCTTCGTCTGTACTGACATATTCAGCATTTAGCAAGTAAAGTATATTACCATCTGATTGCCTCTCCATGGTATGAAGGATTGATTGCATAAAATCGTTTTGTTTGTCTGAGCCCAACAACAGTGAATCCATGGCTTGCTCCTCAAGAATAGTCAGCAACATGCAAATACCTGTAAGATTATTTCAGTTTACTAAACCAACGAAATAACACTATGCTAATTTTTTCTAAGCAGGCAGAAAGAAAGCAAGGCAGAAAGTCAAAGCAGAACAGAATCCAGCTCCCATCCGCCTGCCCTGCTTCATGCATCACTCCTCAACAATAGAGCTGAACACCTTTTCTAGTGTAAAATAGGTAGGTGGTGCTAGGCAGGGAAGAAGGTGTTTTCTAAGATTACTACCACACAACTTGTAATTCACTAAATCTAAGATGCCACAAACATTCACATGTGCTGTGTACAGGTCATATAACAATAAAAAGAAAACTGCTACAACTACAACATGTAACTTTAAAGGACTCAATTAATGAAATAGTGACTTACAAACAATGCTCACTTCTCTCACCACCTGAAAACATTTACACCATAAAAAAGGAGGTAGTCACCATGACACTGACATTTCTACTTGAAAAGATTCACTTGCCAGGGCCTGCAAATGTACCTGTTTGGAAGGCATCTAGAATAAATAATGTTTAATAACATATAAAATAGTTAAGCTAATTTAGCAAGGGAACAAGTATTGGGAACCATGACATCTTGTAATAAGGAAATTGCTCAGAGATTGCTCTGTGCTCAGAACACTAGGGAAAACAAATCCGTGTAGGAATAATACTCACCTAGCCAGTAGTTTTTGTAGTTGGTAGTATCATACATGTGTGCAGGTAGAAGGATCAGTTTGCCTTTTTCAAGCACAGAAGATGTGTAAATGTCTGGACTTTCCAAAAGCCCCAACTCAATGACTTTAAAAAGGCAAGTTAAAACTTCCTGTAAGTCGTAATAGTCATCTCTGTCCACTTTCCCTAGGTTTCTTGCAGTCAGAATAGCCCATCGCCGAATCTAAATAATTGTATTATAAGTAACATTGTATATTCATTAATTCATTCAATGAACAATGATCTACACTGAGAAATATAAGATATAATAGATTTTGGAAGACATCAAAAGATTACTACTGCAATATATGGACCTTCTTTGATCATGATGCAAATAATCATTTATGAAACAATTATTTTCATTCATTTAAACACTAGCAAGAATCTGTCCTGTGTATCTATTTTTTATTTATGTTAAGTATTTAGTAATTCTTTTTCCATCCATCCCATTAATCTTGTATGTTCCCTTGTTTTATTCTAGGTATGTCTATTAGAAGCAATCTACTTAAACTTTTGTAAGCCAATTTTTTTTGGGGGGGGGAGAATTCATTCAACACAAGGCTTCTCTGTGTAGCTTTGGCTGTACTGGAGCTCACTCTGTAGATGGATAGCCTAGAACTCACAGAGATCTGCCTGCCTCTGCCTCCTGAATGCTGGAATTAAAGGTGTGTGCCACTATGCCCAGCAAGTATGCTTTTTCTTTGCTGGAGATTTAAAAACAAAACATCTTTTCTTGCCATATTTTGGAAGAACAGACTTTCTCAGTGTTTGCTTTAAGAGTGACTCCATTAGCCGGGTGATGGCAGCACAAGTCTTTAATCCGAGTATTCAGGAAACAGAGGCAGGCAGGCAGATCTCTGTGAGTTCAAAACCAGCCTGGTCTACAGAGTGACAGCCAAGGTTATAGAGAGAAACCCTGTCTCAAAAAACCAAAAAGTGACTCCATTAGAAACCCTGTCTCAAGAGTGGGAAAAAGTGACTCCAATTCTAACCGCCAGTGTGCATGGAAATGTGTATGTGTATAGGCTACCACACTTCATAGTAGGCTATGTCCCATTTCCTTGCTTAGGGGTAATCTCTGTATCTGTTCTTGTTTACTCTCTGAATTTTGTGTCTTTCTTCATCTCTAGCACCTACAAACTTTTCTTGTTCCTGCCTATTCCCTATAATTTCCCCCTTCAATCTCACTTATTAGCAAAATTAGTATTTCAAATGACATTTCCATGTTTTTCAGCAACCAAGTGAGAAAAGCAAGAATCTCATTAGTTCAGTTTAACACTGCTGGTTAATTTGTCAACTTGACACAAACCTAGATATATCTGGAAAAAGGGACTCTTAATTTAAAAAATGTCTCCAAAGGCTGGCCTATAGGTAAATCTATAGGGTACTGTCTTAATGATTGACATGGGAGGACTCAGCCCACTAAGAATGGTGTCTCTTAGCGGGGTGTTGGTGGCACACGCCTTTAATCCCAGCACTCGGGAGGCAGA